CATTAGCCAGCCCTGGGCCACATAACCATCCCTGGGAGGGACACAGGGAAGACAGGGCTAGCCTTTCTCCAAATATGGATTGAGCAGGATTTATTACACAATGCAAGAAGGCCTTTTTGTCAGGCAGACCAACAAACATCAAGCTCATACTGCAGTGTAAAGTTTGCTTCATGTTGTGTAGTTCAGGGTCGTAGCCATTTTTTTGTTTCATTGATGAAATTTACTTCTCTGTTTTTCATTCTTTGCTGCTTTCATTGAATTACTAGAGAATGCCTTTGTGCCTTTAACCAGAAGCCCTCTTTTCTTATTTTTTATTCCAACAATACTAAGAGCACTTGATAGTTTATTAGTAAGGCTTTCAAGCCTTAGTCATCACTCCACAACCTACAGTGAGGGCTAGAAGGAGATGGCCGTAAAAGAGCAGAGTTATTTCCATTTTATACATTAGAAAACTGAGCCCCTGAAAGTGTTAACAGACTTGCCACATACAGCTAAATCAAGTGGCTGAAAGAGAATCAAACCTAAGTCCAGAGATTCTGGCTCCTCAGGAAGAGTCCCTGACTCTCCACAACAGTTGGCTGCTCTTGGGCTTTCCTCCTAAAGATCACATTTCCAAAACATGACAGTTTGAACATTTACACAGAAAGCCTTAAAAGATTTTTAAAGCAGGTAAAGAGATTCATCTGCTTTGAAAGAGATTCCATGGATGGATGGATGGATGGATGGATGGATGGATGGATGGATGGATGGATGGATAGATGGGTAGATGGGTAGGTGGATACGTGAATGAATAGATGGGTGAATGGATAAATGGGTGGATGGATAGGGTGATGGGTGAATGGGTGCATGGATAGGTGAATGGGTGGATGAATGGGTAGATGGGTATATGGATGTATGAATGGATGGATGGATGAATGGATGGGTGGATAGGTGGATGGATGGGTGAATGGGTGGATGGATGTGGAGATATATGGATGGGTGAATGGGTAGATAGATGGATGGGTGGATAGGTGGATGGATGGGTGAATGGGTTGGATAGATGGGTAAATATATAGATGAGTGGATGGATGGATGGATGGATGGATGGATGGATGGATGGATGGATGGATAGATGGATGAATGATGGATGGGTGGGTAGGTAGACGGATGGATGGGTGGATGGGTGGGCAGATGAGTGGATGAGTAGATAGGTGAATGGGTGGATAGATAGGTGGATGGGTGGATGAATGGGTGTGTGGGTGAATGTATGGGTAGATATGTCGGTGGGTGGATGGGTGGATGGGTGGATGAATGGATGGAGCATACACACATTTTGTTAATGGCGGCTGCATTACTTTCAATCCATATAGTAATACAAAGCAAGTGATGGTGAAGTATTGCTGAGGAGCAAGTCTGCCAGACCTTAAATGAATCCCTAAATGGGCATATGGAGACTATTATAACTGGCACGAGGTTTGAGGATGGCATTCCATACGTGCTTGAGAGTGTGTTCTCTTTTGTAAAGTTAAATAGTCCTCTAAAATATTGTTTACAATGATACTTTGCTTAGCAAATCCTTTTTCCACCATAACCAGCATAAAGTTGAACTCCAGTGCATCCCATATCTGAATTATCCATATTTTAAATGAGAGTATACAATTACTGCAGTTTCATGGAAATAAAATGCTCCTTCCTCTCCCAGCCAGACAAACACACACCACCCAGGTGGCCACTCTCACACTGGACAAGCCTGCAAGGTCCCCACACTAGGAGTGTGTCCTCACCCACTCTGTCCCCTTTCCACGGTCTACTTACACACTCCTCAACCCTCCCTGCTCCTGCCAGCCCAGCTCACTGACAAGAGTCTTCATTTTCACTTTATGGTCTACAGATGAAAAAAAGTTAATTGAGGGTAGGGCTCTAGCATCAAAACTGGGAATAGTCCATTGCATAGCAAAGATTGTTTCTTGGAATTAGTCACTTAAATGTTTACAAGAAACAATTATCAAGTGTCCCAGACTGATTCACTAATGTCATTAATGAAAGAATTGCTAAGAGTTTCCATTTTCTGGTTTGTTTTAATCCTACTATATAAACTTTTTTCTTTTTTGGCACCACTCCAACAAAATTCCACCCAATGATTAAAGGAGGTAAAGATTCATAAAGCAAAAATGTTACTGAAAATTAACCTTGCCAGGGTACATTGCAAACCCAACTTAGACACAATCCTTATATGACACAAAAGCCGTCCTAACAAAACACAAAGAAAACAATTAGCGCTGTTGCCAGCGCCTCATAATTTTGGACAGTGAGGAAGAAGTGCTAACTGATTTGTCTTTTGCTGTTTGTGGGATAAAACATGTAACTGAAGATGCCCCTGAAGTTCCAGAATGAGGAAGACATAATGAACTCTGGCTTTCCAGATTATTCTGCCACATCTGAAGGTTTGCAAATAAACAAATTAAATAGCTCTTGTCTGGTTTTTCTAGTCAACTTTCATTACTGTAAGGATGGATGCAGCAAGATAAATGTTTCCTTTTTACTTAAATACTGAAAGAAACACAAGTTTTCCTGCTGCCTTTTATGTTTAAGCTCTGAGGTCCACAGCCTATTCTTATTCACCAACTGGAAACGATTTGTCTGCAATGGCCAGTTTGATGTTTTCTACTCAACTCCCAAAGTCCCAATTTGAAGTCGTTCTCTTCCACTTAAGGAGACATTTCATTTTTCCTTTAATTTAAAAAAATGTTCTGAATGCAAAACGACATTACAAGGACTACTAGGTTGCTTAATATAAATTCCGTGTGTGTGACACTCTTCAGGCTGTGTCAGCAGACAAGGTCGGTTCAGCTAAACAAGCTGCCAAGCAGCCACTTGGGGGAAAAGTTTTGAGCATGCTACATGTGTCCAAGCCAAAATCAGACTTGAAATCTAACGTGAGGGTAAGAAATACTTGATCTTAAAATGGCTCATGGAATTTAATCTTGTTAAGCAAATCTGAACTGGGCAGTTATCCATGATGACCCAATGGAAAGTCCTAGAAAAAAATATCTTAAACTGAGTGACCTGTCCAGTTCAAGACGTTCTGCCTCTCTTAGCATCATTACTGGCTGGGACTGGAAAACAGAGCCTGTTCTCTCCACTCTTTCCCCCATTCCAGCCACCAATTATTCAAGGTTTCTTCAGTAAAACACCAGGGTAAGAATTCACAGTCCAAACAGCAAGCATTTCTCCACAGATCCTTAATATGGTAGGAAGATTGATTCTCAAGGAAACCCTATCTAGGAACATGGTATGAAATAAAGTAATTCCCAATCATTCATTTATGAGGGACTAATGGAGGGATCTCACAGATAACTGAAATCTGTAGGACTCTTCTGTTTTAGCCATTAGTTTGCAAAATAGATATTTAATCCAAGATCTACTGAAGAATAAAATAAGTGTCCACTCTTGAGGAGTTAAGGACATTGAACTAACCCAAAGGGAGACAATAGGAGATTCCAGGCCATGCAAGAATCCCAAATAACACACAAATGGAATGATTATCTCTCAAGGGATGGCTAGAATAGTCCAACTAAATCTTATTCTGATAGTCCTACAGAAGCAGCACTGTGACAGTCATGAATAAAGGTTTTCTTGAGCATTACATGAGGAATGATATAAAATCAACTCGATTTGGCCATGAGAAGTAGTCTCTCCTATTCATGTACCCTTAACATAAAATTTGCTTATATAAAAGAGAAAAAGCAAACCAATCATCTATATAAGATACAGATGAAACTGGTAAATGACATCATTATCCTGACCAGAAAATTAAATAAAAAGAATACTGACCCTCCACTCTTGAGATGAGACGGTAAGGATGTTGTTCCTTTGAACATTTCTTGCTCCTTTATTTCACTGAAGCCTCCATCATAAGTTAGCTGAAGTGGGTGACTCTTTAAGTGGCAAATAGCATTTGATTTTGTTAAATAAATCCCATTTATTTTCACCACAGAGTCCCCCATCATAACTGTTTCTTTGGATTCCACTGTCTTCTTTGCTGCAATATAACCAAGAAAATGTTTTGTTATTCTTATTTTAGGAATCACTACCTTTCAATGTTATTTTTCAATCTAAGAATTTATATGATTTTAAAGTTATACATTGCTTATAATTAAGTCCGGAATTTTATGGCCAAAGCCTTTCTGAGCATACACAAGACCAGTATCTTAAGCCTAGCACCATCAATTCTGCAGGTAAAAATGTATAGAATCTTATCTCTATCAGCTTAGGGTCTACCTGAAGGCAAACTCTCGACTTCAGGCTTATAAACTACCTAGTCCACAGAAGTAGTCCTGTGTTCCATAACAGCAGCTCTTCCTCCTGAATTTGATCATGCAATTTTTCATTCAAAAAACATTTACTGAGTGGCTCCCCCATATCAAACACTGTCCTACGCACTTGGTGTGCATCAAAACAGATCCCTGATCTCACAGGGCTTATATCCTAATAAACAGAAAACAAGCAATCACCATAATAAATAAGGTATACATGGTGTTATAAGATAGTAAGTGCTATGGGAAAAAAGCAAAGTATAAAAGTGCGGAAGCGTTAAGGGGATTGGGAATAGGGTGGGTACAGTAGGGTAGGGAGGACAAATCCTTTCTGGGGTGAGGCATCCAGCCACCAGGGTCAGTATTTTGAGCAGAGAGATCAGCTGGTACAGAGGCCCCAAGGTAGGCTGAAGTGGGGGACTCTTCAGCACCCACTGTGCCTGGGGTGTTCAAGGAATAGCAGGAATGCAGTGTGCAAGGAGGCGAAGAGGAGGAGAGGTGATTAGAGGGGTGAGGGGTGGATTGTGGAGGCCTAGCCTAGTAGACCACTACTCTGCAATGGAAAGGACAGGGCATTGAAACACACCTCTGAAGAGGGATAAGATAGAGTTGCAAGAAGACATCATTTTTGTTTATGATTCCAGATTTTTAGACATATAATAATATAGCACTTCCCTTTTCAGCAAATTGGTATTAGGAATAGCTTATTGTCTATGCTGCCACAAGGCTGTAGTCTGTGAGAAAACATTTTGTTAAAGGGGAAGAGAGTAAATCTCCCATAATACAGTGTGTTGGGGGGTGGGGATGAGTTTCATGTAGAAAAATACCTACTGTTTTGCAAGATTTTTCAAAATGACTCAAGGTTTCCTTTCCTTTTCTGTACTTACTAAGAAACCAACAAACCAATAAAAACTAATAATAACAAAACCACCTATTCTACCCCTCTGACCAAACTCCCTGCTTTCAAAACACTAAATTTTAAAACTGAAAGGAACCTTAGAGATTCTAGGCTTCTTATTTTTTTTTTTTTCAGATGAGAAAATTGAGAATCCAAAGGTTAAATGACCTAAAGTCACAGGGAGAGCCAGGCCCACGGGGTGGGAAGAACACAGGCTTTGGCTCAGACTTGGGTTTGAGTGCAGGCCCCCCTGAGCACCGGCTCTGTGATGTGGACGCTCAATACACACCACCTTCTGTGGTCCCCACCTCTTGGGGATGTGGTGAGATTTAAAATGATGTGGCCTAGTAAAGTGACTTATATGGTGCTAGCACACTCAAAACCTAGAAGTTACTGTCATTATGATGACTGGAACCCAAGAATCCTGACTTCTGGGCTAGGGCTCTCTCCATACCACCACACCACCTTCAATGACTTTACTACTGAATTATGAAGCACACATTCTGTTTCCGATTACAAAGTACTTTTAGCCTATCGTTATCTTTTAGCATTCATTTTTCTTATTCATTCACTCCCTGAATATTTATGAAGCACCCACCACTATGTGCCAGGTGCTGTTCACTGCATGGATGAAGCCATGGTGAACAAGTCCTGGCCATCACGGAGCTTCTAGAAGGGGAACCCAACCATACCTAGTGGTCAAGGAGCTACACCTGTCTATCTTCAAATCTACCGGAGTAAGCTTGTCAGTTATTACTACAACGAAGAGCTGCCCTGGGGGGCTCACTCTCATTCCTGATGAATGTCCCCGATGAAACTGAGCATGCGTAGCTATGGTCTGTATCCTCTTGGTAGATAGTAGAAGCACACTGTATGAATTTTGTAATGGATCATGGGTAAACTTCAAAAGGAAACAGCTCCCAGCAGCCTTACCATGCAGGACCAGTTCAGTTTCACAAATATTTATTTGGTATCTGTTATACACCACACCCTGTTATAGGCTCTTGGGCAACAAATAGAGAAAAACACTTTTCTTAATGACGTTGCTCTGTCTCGTAGGGGAGACAAAGGGGGCAGATGTGTAAAGAGATAAATGAAGCCCAGTGTGGTCCCAGTCAGGTAAGGAGGGGGCAGAGAGTGAAGAAAGCTTGAGGGGTTAGGAGTTGGTCAGAGAAAGCTTCACAGAAGAGGTGGGGGCTGAGAAGCATTTTGAATGGTTAATAAGAGGTAAACAGCTTGAAGAAAAGAGAACAAAAGTCTGGAGTGAAAGCCAGCTTCAAGTGTGTATTGCCGGTACAGTTAGGCAGGGCCCCACTTTTAGAAGGGCCCACACTTGTTTTAAGGCTCTGCTGTGGCTATCTTGAAACTCTTAATAATCTTTGAACAAAGGGCCCCACATTTTCATTCAGCATTGGGCCCAGCAAATTACACAGCAGGTTCTGCCTGAGGTTTGAAACAGCAGGGTGGGTATAGGGAACAAAAAGGGGTTCCACCCTGCCGGTGCACCCACCGTGAGGGGGCAGGCCCAGGACAGGCGTGAGCAGGGCCTGGAATGTTGGGCTGAGGCTGGATCACAACACAGCTGTGCACCTGGAGGAGCTGGGGCTTCATCCCCCGCCACCCCCACCGGAGCTCAGCAAACTACAGCCCCACCGTATCTTCCCCACCTCGTTTTCATGTAGCCTGCAAATTAAGAACGGTTTTTACATTTTTAAATGGTTAGAAAAAAATCAAAGAAAGAACAATATTTTGTGACAAGTGAAAATTACATGAAATTCAAGTTTCAGTGGCCACAAATCGGCGGATGGCTGCTTCCACCCTACAATACAAAACTGAGGAGGTTGAGCAGAGACCATAGGGACCAGGTCTAAAATATTTACTATCTGGCCCTTTACAGAAAAAGTTTGCCAACTTCCATAGTAGGCTAGTGTTTCGCAAATTGTTTTCCCAAAAGACAGATCCCACAGTCCAGCAGGTTGGTGAAATGCTATGTTGAATTAAAATTAAACAGATTTCTTTACCAACACTTTAATACACTCATGTGCACAGAGACTCTCCAAGAAGATGAGGGGTAGGCAGTGTTTCCCTGACCTATTTCAGCACTGAACCTTTTTCCAAAGAAAAGCTATTAACATTTTGCCAAAAGTGTTCCCTGGAGTTCCCTGGAACTCAGTTTGGCAAACACTTCTGTAGGCACAGCGGGGCCTCTGAAGGGTTTTCAGCAAGAGGATGGTGCAATCTGATCTTTATTTGCTTCCCGACCTCTTGTGCTTTATGGAACACACAGAAAATGATCATTTTTCATGGTCCCCTGGGATAAAGGGATAACGCTGCTGCTCATAGCCATGTCGTGTTGGGAGCTCAGCATCCTCAGGCTCCACTGGCTGTTCCTCGGGCTGAGGGCCTTGCATCCACCGACCTGCAGACCATCACAGCACCCCAGTGAGCAGAGGGTGGTTTAAGAGCAGCAAAACAGGATGAGGCAAGAGGGATGGAGGCACCACGGCAGTGGTGAGGGAGAATGCAGACTCAAGAGCTAGTCAGGAAGCACATGTAGGGCTGGGTGACGCAGAGTTTGACAGGGATGGCTGAGGAGGTGGTACTGCTCTCAGGCCTCTTGTCTGGCTTGAATAACTGGGGAAGCATTCACAGCAGTGCCGCCTCCAGCCAAAAGCCCTATGTGAACGCAAAGCAGTTATACTGCTGGCCTTGTGGAGATGACTACACAAATCTCTTCCTCTTTCACTCTCTTAAAGCAGGAATTCCAAACCTGCCACCACACCCTGGCCCTGCTTGTGGGGTAGTGTCAGCCACAAATGACTTCACAGCAAATGAAGGGATGCCCTCCTTTTCTACAGTCTCAGTTACCCCACAAAGCCTACCTCTTCTAAACAATAGAGAGGATCTGAAATGAAACCCAGGGAGCTGTTTTACAAATGACAATGATTCCAAGGCTGGAGAGCTCAAATATTTTTTATAACTTTGTAATTGGATGACATGTGCTTTTAAAATAACAACGAGTTTCTGCTGCCAGTATTTCCTGAATGCTGGCCCAGACCTCAGGGATGACCTGAATGGTGAAGAGGGTGACTGCAAACAGGGTGGATAAAAGAGCCACGATGAAAACATGCTTCAGTGCACCTTGAAGGTGTGAAGTTGGCCTCAGTGCTGGGAAATAACAGCCGCACAGGGCATCTCCCAGAGCATGCAGGCAACAATCAGGTACCCCAGGGGGGAAGGAGCTAAGTCACTGGGGAAGCACTGAGGAGGAGGATGGTGGGCAAAGCACTCATCTCTGCAGTCACTTTCACATCAGTGCAAGCAGCAGGGTTTTCTAGTGTGCACGCCCAAAAGTTAAAAATGCATGAAACACATACACAGTATTCATCCTCACAAGCAAGAACACAGAATGAAAAACAAGGTAGGAGTCCTCGCACCAATCCTGCCATCCTGTTCATAAGAAGTGCCCTTCACCTCCAGGTCCCAGCACCCCCCATCTTGGCAAGCCCTTTGCTCCTGCAATGACCAACCCTTTCTGATTTACCTGAGCTGACATGGGACTCTGGGGGTGGAGCTTTTGCAAAGCTCCTCAGGCGATTCTCATGGGCAGCTACAGATGAGAACTGCTGTCGTTGAAAAAACACACGTCATGTTGCCTCTCCCTTTTGTAAACCCTACCTTTTCACTACAAGTAGAACACAGCTGGGTGTGTTTCCCATGTTCCGAGGCCCTGGGCAGTTCTGTGGCCTCAGCTCCCTGTAACTTCCCTTGATCAGCCACTTTCCAGCCACCGGACCTCCGGGTCCTCCACCACCGGCACTTGCTCTCGTGCCTGGTCATTGCACTCGCTTTTCATGTGGACACTTGGTCCATGGATTTTTACACAGCTGCCTCCTTCTCATGAGTCACCTTCCTACTCAGCTGTCAGCTCCTCAAAGATACCTTTCAGAGCCACCTGAGCTAAAGCAAACTACCCCACCACAGTCACTCTCAAGTCCATTATCTTGTTTATCTTCTTCAGAGCATTCATCAGCACTCAAATTATCTTATTTGTTCTCCTGTTATTGTCTATCTCCTCTCACTAGATAGTAAGCTCTCTGAGGGCAGAACTCTGTTGGCCTAGAATGGTGCCTGGCACTTAGTAGGAGTTCAATAAATACCAGACTGACTGGCAGTGTAAGAAAGGAAACAAATTGGGACATCGAGGTAAAGCAAGTTGCCTGATGATATACTTGGTCACAGCATCACAGTGTGAGGCACACACCCTGCACATCCTCATTGTCTTGTTTTTTCTCTTCTCTTTTCTTCCTTCCTTCCTCCCTCCCTCACTCTCTTCTCTTTTCTTTTTCTTTTTTCTCTTTCTTTTCTCTCTTTTCCTTCTTTCCCTCTTTTTTTCTTTCCTTTCCTTTCCTCCTTTCTTCCCTCCCTCCCTTCCTTCCTCCTTGCTCCTTCCTTCCTTCCTCTCTCCCTCCCTCCCTCTTTCCCCCCCTCCCCGCTTCCTCCCTTTCTCTCTCTCTCTTTCTTTCTTTCCTTTCTTTCATTCTTTTTCCTCCTTTATTCTACCTCTTCAGCCTCATCAGGGACCAAACAGGCAAGTGAATGGCACAAGCCAGGGACATGGTGACTGCAGACCATATCCTGGCCACAGAATGGGGGTACCACTCAGCTCCAATCATGCCCCATTGCGGCCACATGGAACGGCGACCCAGTGTTGCCAGATTTTCTGATTTTTCACAAGGAGTCATAAATCTGGATTCTTCCATGAGATTCTTCTACTTTTTAAATGTTGGAAATGAATTTAAAAAAATACTTGTTCAGGCCTGTAATCCCAGCACTTTGGGAGGCCGAGACGGGCGTATCACGAGGTCAGGAGATCGAGACCATCCTGGCTAACACGGTGAAACCCCGTCTCTACTAAAAAAAAAACAAAAACTAGCCGGGCGAGGTGGCGGGCGCTCGTAGTCCCAGCTACTCAGGAGGCTGAGGCAAGAGAATGCGTAAACCCGGGAGGCGGAGCTTGCAGTGAGCTGAGATCCGGCCACTGCACTCCAGCCTGGGCGACAGAGCGAGACTCCGTCTCAAAAAAAAAAAAAAAAAAAAACTTGTCCATCAAGTACGATGCTCAGGTGGGGGCTGTGATCTTTGGTATGTATATTCCAGGCTCTCCCCATCTCTCAGTGACTGTAAGCCTATCTCTCTTCATCAAATCTCGTTGATGGAGGGAGAACCAGTTCTGTCAGCTCCTGGTAAAGTGGTTTCCCAACTTGTTTTGACCACACACAGTCAGAAATCGTTTGTAATATGACCCTGAACACACACTGAACACCAAAGTAAAGTCTCCTGAAGCAAAACTTACCCCTATTGTGTGTTACGTATTCTGACATTTTCCATTATATTCTATTCTACTTTATTTTTTAAAAACGCTGGTGGGATCCACTAAATTGATTGTCATCCCACTTCTGGGTCCTTTTCCACAGTTTGAGAAACCCTTAATATGCCCTGGATGGGGAGTGATTCCAATTGTTGGTGGGACTCCTCGGGCTGTGATCTTTAGCCTCTCTGTTCCCAGGTTTAGGTGCCTGGCAGCATTCTTCGGCAGTAGGAAAAGTCCCATTGGAATTTTGCTTACATGCTCACATGGGATCAGAAGGGTATTTTCAAAGAAATAACCTTAATGAACATAATAAGAATCTTACCATTTTCATTAATTTCTAATAAAATTAACAACTTTTTGAACTCTAATTTAAAAATTATTTATTTCTGATATACGTGAACTATCCACTAGGGAATACTTATCCTAATATTCTTTTTTTTCCTTTTTGTTAAGATGGAGTCTCACTCGTCACCCAGGCTGGGGTGCAGTGGCACGATCTCAGCTCACTGCAACCTCCACCTGCTGGTTTCAAGCAATTCTCCTGCCTCAGCCTCCCAAGTAGCTGGGATTACAGGCACACGCCACCACACCTGGCTAATTTTTGTATTTTTAGTAGACACAGGGTTTTACCATGTTGTCCAGGCTGGTCTCAAACTCCTGATCTCAGGTGATCTGCCTGCTTTGGTCTCTCAAAGTGCTGGGATTACAGGCATGAGCCACCACACCCAGCCACTTATCCTAATTTTCTTTTCCTACCAACTGTGATATTTAGGTATTCCTTATAAGCACCCGGAAAAATATATGAACCATGTTTTTTAACCAGCTTTTTCCCAATATTAACTAACTCTTAGTTAATATAAAAATCATCCAGGGTTAGGAAAAATCATATAAAAATAGCTTTTGTGTGCAAACTCAAGAAGCATGCCTGTCCCCAGAGATTATAGGATGTTACATGACCTTACAGTCAGAGGGAGGAAGGGATCTGTCCGGCAGAAGGGCCCCCTGGGAGGCAGCCCTGAATAAGCGAGCCCTGGCACTGCTTATTCTTCTAATCTTCGCAGGGTCCACTGGGGGCTTAGGAAAGGAAAAGCAGGAATCCTCCTCTCTGGTGGGAGATGCTGGAACTTTCGGTTTCTGGAAAGAGATTTTTTAAATAATTGGAATGACTTTCTGTGTCTCAAACAACACTTACCTCAGAGCTAGCCTTCCAGAAGAGCATGAGGCCTATCTGCCTGGCTTCATCTTGGCTTCCTGATTCTACCAGCTCACTGGCCCATCTTACATAATGTGATACATGTAGATATAAAGCATTTTTAAATTGTTCTTCTCAATCATATTGTATTAACTACTCTGTTGTGCTATTAGCATACTTGAGTAAAACAGTTTACACATGCTAGCAACCAATATTATCTGTATAAAAGACTACAACATTAGCTGGGCGCAGTGGCTCATGCCTGTAATCCCAGCACTTTGGGAGGCCGAGGCAGGTGGATCACCTGAGGTCAGGAGTTCAAGACCAGCCTGACCAATATGGTAAAACTCCGTCTCTACTAAAAATACAAAAATTGGCTGGGCATGGTGGCGTATGCCTGTAGTCTCAGCTACTCAGTAGGCTGCGGCAGGAGAATCGCTTGAACCCAGGAGTTGGAGGCTGCAGGGAGCCAAGATTGTACCACTGCACTTCAGCCTGGGCGACAGAGCAAACTCCATCTCAAAAAAAAAAACAGACTACAAAATTACATATAGCGTATTCAACATGCTTTGCAAATGTCTGAGTTCAAGTCAGTTCAGAAAACACTTACTCAGCACCTATATGTACCAAGAATTATGTGGAATATAAGTGGCACATTTACGTATTTTGGATGCCACAAATGTATTTTTTTAATGATATCAAAATTTTTAAACAAGTTAGGTGAAAAAGTCATAAAACATAAAAGCAAGAAGTTGTCTTAGACTTATGATATGAAAGTGTTTTATTTATTTATTTATTTATTTATTTATTTAGAGACGGAGATTCGAAATGGTGCGATCTTCGCTCACTGCAACCTCCGCCTCCTGGGTTCAAAGATTCTCCATCCTCAGCCTGCTGAGTAGCTGGGATTACAAGAGCTTACCACCATACCCAGGTAATTTTCGTTTTGTTTTTGTTTTTTTTTGAGATGGAGTTTCATTCTTGTTGCTCAGGCTAGAGTGCAATGGCGCAATCTCGGCTCACCGCAACCTCCGCCTCCTGGGTTCAAGCAATTCTCCTGTTTCAGCCTCCCAAGTAGCTCGGATTACAGGCATGCACCAGCACACCTGGCTACTTTTTTTTTGGATTTAGTAGAGACGAGGTTTCACCCTGTTAGTCAGACTGGTCGTGAACTCCTGACCTCAGGCAATCCACCCACCTCAGCCTCCGAAAGTGCTGGGATTACAGGCGTGTGCCACTGCGCCCGGCCGAAAATGTTTTACTTTTTACATCTCAGAAATTCTATGCTGATACTCTATTTTTACCCCCTTCTTTTCTTAAGTGTCGATGTTGATACTCTTAGTAGAGGAACATTACTAACAAAATTCTAATTCCTTAAAAACTTTTTTAAAAACACCTGCACCAAGTTCTGTGCCACCCAGAACTCCCTCTAATCTGAGTGGCCTCTGACCTGGTGCCCTCATAGGGTGACTAAGCTCCTAGTTTTAGAGTTACCTGGTGCTCTTATCCTTCCTGCCTCCAATATCAGCACAGTTATTTGCCTATGAAAGAACAACCTTATAGCAGCAAGTGCTTTTAGCTGTAACCAAAAATAATCAAGTTAACATGCCTAAAGTCACTTTCATAATATGCGAATGAGTAACTCACTATCCAATAAGTTAATCAACAAATTTTTGAAACATCCAGTGTGAAATCCAAGTCATATAATTTGGAAAATTGGGTGAAGTCATTTATCACGTATGACGCATAATCTCAAACACTTGTTTTCTCACATACATGAATAGAACATAGACATCTATATTAGGGTGTTCCTTCCAAGAAGTTGTTCATTTCAATAATGATGACATTCTTCAAAATGTTTATTTCCTCTTGTTCATTTGTATTTAGGATCAGTTTATAAACCAGACCAAAAAAAATTGTTCTATGATATTAAAGACATATTTTTCTAACATAGCTAGAAAAAAACAGTAAATAAAATAATCATCATAATACGGAAGAAAGCATAAATCACTTTTGGAGACCTGGAGAAGGACCCACTCACTAGTTATGTGAACTTGTGCAGGTCATTTACTTCTCTGAACCCGCCCAGCTGTAACACAGAGACAGTTCTTACAGGGCCATTCCCATAAACACAATTCCTACTACGGAATGTGCTGCTATATGGAACTAATGTGTTCCTAAATGGAACTGGCTCAAGAAATGCCAGTTCCTTTCCCCATGTAAGTTTCTCAGCCCTTATTTATCAGGTTTGGTTCCAAGTTACTTTTAACTCTTCCCAAAAGTAAAGGTCCTAGCCTCTGACACAGGCTTGCTAGAATTAAGATATTGGATTCTGAGGGGTCTGTTCTGAAGTAGGTAACACTTGTTTGTCTGCATAAATTGCATTATATTTGTTTAACAAATAGTCACTTTACTTTTTAGCCTCCCCACTTTGTTGCAAAATATTCATAGGAATGTTACTTAGGACATGAAGCTAATAGGAACAGAAAAGCTGAGAGTGTAATACAGGAAAATAGGTGTTTTCTGTGCAATTAGAAAAATGAAATAAGCAGAGGGTACAGGTCTCACATTTGAACAGACGATTGTGGTGGTTTTGCTTAACTCAAATAACCTTCTAGCAATCCGAGGCATGTGCGCCGGACTTGTCAGACATTACTCATGGACCAGACCAAGCAGACGGCTCCTTCTAGAGCAAGACACCAACCCTGTTTTAACTGAAATTTAATATCACTGTTTTTTTTTTTTTCCGCACACAGGGTCTCATTCTGTCACCCGCGGCGCGGCCCCCCAAGCTACAGAGTCGTAGCGAATCATGCTGCACCACAGCCTTAACCTTCCACCTCTCCATGCGACTCTCTCGGCCAGCCTCATGCTTCCTTTAGTAGCTGGGACTAAGGCAGGCACCACCACACCCACAGCTAATTTTTTTTATTTTTTTGTAGAGATGGGGCTCTACTGGCCCAGGCTGGTTCAACTCCTAAGCTCAAGCGAGCTCTCCTGCCCTTGCTTCCAAGTGCTAGAATTAAGGCATCGAGCTACCACACCTCAGCCACAAAGCATTTATAAAGAGGACAAAACATGGTTTTTGGAAAGCAAAAATTCCCCCAAGAGAACACTGAATTTTCTCTGCAGGGGAAGGTAAAACTCCACAACATGCTTCCGTCACTAAAGGCATTATTTCTTGCTGCAAAGGTTAGTGAAATGTGGTATACACAAAAGATTCGGTTCCATTTTGACTACTGAGCACTGTTTAATAAATTATGTGGCTCCCCATTTAACATGGCATCGCTCGTGGGACTACTTAGAGTATAAAGTGACATATGTAGAAGCATGTTTAATTATTTAACGCAGAAACAACTAAATGACCTCAGCAATTTCTTTTATCCTAAGCTTCCTACAAAATGTTCAATCATCGCGCTTGGAGGTAAACTGACGTGTTTATAAAGAAAAACACGGCAAACATGTTTCCTCTCATCAAAAGATGTAATAATTTTCAGAAATCAGAAGACTCGTTGCCAAGGGTAAGTTACAGTCTTTCCACTGTGAGGGCCAGGGCGGTGGCTACAATGCTAATCCCAGCACTTTAGGAAGGCAAGGTGGGTGGCATACCGTGAGGTCAGGATTCAAGACAGCCTACGCCAACACCATGATGGAATACCCCCATCTCTACTAAAATACAAAATTACCCAAGGCTGGTTGTGCATGCCTGTAGTCCACGTACTCAAGAGCTGAGCAGGAAGAACTGCTTGACCCCAAGCGAGGCAGGAGGCGTTCCCCCACGGCATTGCAGCCCGGTGACAGCGGAAGCAAGCCTGTCTTCCAAAAAAAAAAAAACAAATTATTCACTTGAGAACCTTAGCTACCTCACATTTTTGTTCCATGACACTAACCGCTCGTGACTCTCAGCACTAACAAGGACACAGGCACAGCCATATGTTTAAGGTCTGTTCTGGCTGGTTGGACTGTTAGAGTCATGCAAGAGCACAGTCCTATTTCCACAGGACAACCCCAGTTACAAGAAGACACAATACAGTGGGATTAAGTTTACAGGTATAATATCCATCAGGCTGCACGAACTCTTCCAAGCACTGTCAACCTTGGCCAGTTCTGCCCTGGGCGCCAGATCACCCAACGAGCGGTCTCTCTACCAGTGCGGCGTACCATGGACAACTGGAAAACAGGAGTCTCACCGGACATCGGTACCACCCCAGAGAGGCGTTCTCTGGGTGCTCCCACCAAATTTAAGTCGGAAAAGCCACAGTCACCACAAACATCGCAGGACCGAAAGACACCTTGAAAGTCAGAAAGGTGCGAAATATTAAACACTTCTTGCAAGCGGCCAGGCAACAAGTGGCTCATGCCGTAACCCGTACTTTGCCACGCCAGGCAGGTGGATCACAGAGAGTCGAAGAGATTTGCGCGATGCTGGCCAACATGGTCGAGAACCCTGTCTCTACTAAAAATAACAAAATATTAGGCTGGGTATGAGGTGGTGGGCACCTGGTGAACTGCTCCGGCAGCTGAGGGGGAAATCTTTGACCAGAGGCGCAGTTGCAGTGCGCTAGTCGCACACTGCACAGTGGCAGCGACGCTAGCCAACCTCAAAAAATAAAACAACAAAACTCTCACAAGCGCCACCAGAACCTTTGTGACGCAGCAGTTCTGTGTGCACTTCTATTCACTAACTAATGATTTCTCACACAGGTAACAGCTGGGTCCCTCTGTCACTCGTCCGGCATGTGACCTCACTGCTGCTAATGTCACCGTTTGCGTTTAGCAATCGATTGAAAGAAAAAACACTGCTTTGGCTCTACTCTATTGTCTTACTCCTGGATCGCCCATCCCAAGGTTTATGAGTATCCTAAAGGTCCCTTTTCTTTTAAAAATATAAGAGTTTGCTTCACTTACTCAATCACCTGACCCGTCCCTCACAACTAATCCA